TCAGGTACAGAAGGGGAATAACTAGAGCTGGTCAGCAGGTATCGGCAAAGAAAAACCCTCACATTCGGCTACGTGGAGTTCAATCAGCTTTTTTCTTCTTTTTTTTTTATTTTTTTTTTTCTCCTTTTTTTTTTTTAGAAAAAGACTTTCTAGAAAAGAGCGATACCCCTGGCTGGACTCTGGCCCGAGTCAGGCAACTCCTGCAGCACTTCCCTCGCCGATCGCCAGAGGAGCAACGTGCGGACGGGACACCCTTCCGGGAGCCGCCAACGCACATGGAAGAGTGGAACGTACTCACGGGCCACGGAAACCAGCCCCAGGGAAGAACAAAGCTCCCCAGGACACCAGGGAATTAAAAACCGCTGCCGGGTGGTGGGCAGCTCGCCTGCCTCCGGCCCCTCCGCGGAGCTGTCGGGTGGGGAATGCCGGCTGCTTCCGAGCCAGCTGGACAGTCGAGTTAATAAAAACGAGCTCGCCGCAGCGGCGTGTTAAAAACTGCGTTTATACGTAAGTCGAGGCGGAGAGAGAACGGAGTAGACGGAACAGTCTACAGGGGACATAAAAATCGGCATTTTTCCCAATTACAAACGTACAATCTAGATGCTAAAAGAAAGAAAGTGAGGAATTCTCTGCCCCGAGCGACGGGGAGGAACGGCCGGGAGGAGCCGACGGCGCAGCGCGTCGCCTGCACCGTCCACGCGTACCGTAGCACTGACGGTGCTTTATCCCGGGTGTCATCAGCTGGTTGGTTGGTTCTTTTTTTGTGTGTTTTTTTTCGTTTGTTTGTTTTTTTCTCCAAGAAAATCCATAAAGAGAGAAATTTAAAAAAAAGAAGGGAGGAGGAAGAAGAAAGCGGGCAGCGCTCTGCACTCCCTCTCCCTGGGATGGGATTGTTGTTCACCTCTTCAAGAAGTAGGGGTAGTAAAAAGGGTTAGAAAGAGTGGATATCGACTAGCTTTCACTCCTGATTTTATTTTTCTGCTTTCCTTTCGAAGTGGTCTGAGTGGCCGAGGGAATCCTCCCTCCTTGGCAAAGTCAGTCGGAGCTGCTGTGGTCACTGGGAAGTCCAGACTGTCTGTTGTTTGGTCGTAAAGACAAACAGTGCTGGAATATTTTGCTTCTGGCTTTGTTTTTTTTTTTTT